ATTGCATTTCAGTAACTTAATAATAATACCATTAATGTACAGGTAAAGTTCAAAAAATAACTTGTTCCTATTTGTAAATGTCATTTTTGATTAGCCTTCAGACACCTGAGGCAGTGCATAGTTGGAGGGATTATTGTACTTCTCAGGTAGACGCAACCACTTATGGTTTGGACTTGTGCCTCAGAAGCTTGCCTGAAGGCTCCATTAACTCCCAGTAATGCAAAGCTTGTATCATATTGCATAATTATGTGCTTTTCTTCCTCTCCATGGCATGCCAAGCAGATAGGAGAGGTTGTGGAAGCGAATTGCTTAGTCAAAAATGTGTTGCACAGTTGGAAGTGGTTTCTGAGGAAAGGCTCCTTGAATAATGGAGAAATGGCAGGCCCTGAGGTGAAGATGTTCTTCTTCAGTGTCCGAGGAGGATCTTTTCCTATTGACATGAAGGGCCAAGTGCCTTTCAAGATGGGCAGTCTTTAAGAAAGAGAGCAGGACAGCCCATCTTCCTCCCATAGCACAGGCAAAAAGTGCTCTGAGCTCATCACGGTACTAAGGTATCTGAGTCAGCTGCAGGTGATTATACACAGTGGGAGATGGAAGGGATTATTAAAGGGTATTTTGACAACATAATCTATTCTTGTGTGTTCTTTCTTCATGCCCATGAAGCCATTTCTGCTTCAGTGAGAACAGCTGAAGGGCCAGGAAGCAAGCCAGAGTCATGTCTATAATCAGAAATAAGAAACAGGAGATCTCTTTAAGGCATGAAACCTCCCAGCAGGAATTGCTGTCATCATCTCTTCTCCATCCATTCACAGTGGCCGGGGACCTGTTTTCCAGAGAGAAATGTTATTGATGATCTTTTCTGGGTTGATTCTCCTTTTATCATTAGAGAAGTTAGATATGGGGTCACCAGGATACCTACTGCTGCTCCTGGGTGGTTTAGCTTCCATAGCTTACATCAGCAATCTCTTAAATTGTTTTATATTCCCTCATTTCTGACAATACTGTTTCCAAAACTGCTAATGCTGTCACAGATTTAAGAGCAGATGGGTCCAATCTAAGAACTTATATTCTGTCGGTCAGATCTCTTCCTTCCTTTAAAATATTAGGTATTTGGGATCCAGGCTTTATACTTAGGTTGGTGTCACATCCAGTTTTACCACTAAGAGAGAAAGAAACCTCAAAGTACATTGGAACAAGTTGAAAAAGAGCTTGTTAAATGCAAACAAGCATCCTGCATCGGAGTTCAGGCTCAGGACTGGGAGTACCAGCATCTTCCCTGCCAGACAGTTGTCATCACCCAGGGGCGGCTGACTCTGGTAATTGATGGCCAATATCAAGTTCCCAGGGTAGGCTGAGCAGCTGCTATGAGCTGTGGCTAGCTTCTGGGACAAGATGGCAACTACTGTAAAGGAAGAGCAAGCCATGGGCACCCATAGGGGCTGCTTCACCATGGGGTGGCCAATCCTGTCATGCACTACTTAGAGCATTGAAGGGCTTCTGCTGCTGTGGCTGTGCCATCTGCCAGAGCCTGTGGCCACGTGAGCTGCAAGGAATGTTCTTTTCCATTCCAGAGGAAAACACGATCTCACCAGTTATTTCAGTCTGAAAATTAAACTTTTCCAGTCTCCCGATTGTTATTGTTTATTATTATCATTATTTTTAAGAAAGGATTCTTGTACCTTTTCACCACTCTGGGAATGAGTAACAGACATTTTAGTGGCCTTTATTTTGCTGGAAAGTGCTAGGAGCCAAACTAAAACCTAAAGTGCTAGGAGCAAATGAAAACAGAGCCCTCAAGGTCTGAGAAGGGGCTTCTGTAAAAGGGTGGTGGCCAAAGGTAGGCTCCAACTTTCTCCTGAAAGCTTCATCCATCCATCTGTCACACTAAGGAAGATTTCTGACTTCAGATAGGTGTCTGTCGTGCAGCCCAGGCACTGCACCAACATGCAGAGCACAGCTCATAAGCAACATGTTTTAAATGTGTTCTACTTTCAGTTCCATTTACCTATGCCATCTCCCTGTCTATTATGTGTTTGAAGCCCACTAGGCTCCCTTGTATTCTTCCTGTGACCAAATTTACACGTATTTCTGTGAACTGTCTTTAGCAGGAGTCTAGATACAGTCTTATTCGGGACTATCCATGGTCATCTAAATGCTGGCTGGACAGATCTATGGAATATGGTGGGCTCGTGCTCCTGCCATTGCACTCTTAGTCCTGCCAGACTGGGGTGCTTAGGACCTGAGCTGCTGAGTTTGGCTCACCCAATGGCTTTGGCAGTGGTGTTTCAACTGTGGGACTTCTGCCGAACCTGTCTCTCTGCCAAGGTTTTGAACTTTCTTTCATGTGAGATGCTATTGTGTTGTGTTAAACTAGGAAAAGAAAGCAGTTATACTACTGGTTAACCCAAATCCAAGGCTTGCTATTTAAAGATTTACACTCCAAGAATAAGGGGTAGCTCGCAAAAGTAATCTTCCACCAAAAAAAAAAGTATGAATTCTCTTGTGTGAAACAATTAAGCTCTTCTCTCTTCACTTCACTTGTAGTCCCAGTTACTCAGCTTTCACACTGCCACTCCCACCATGATCATTCATGTTGCTTTTACTGTCTGCAACCTTTTCTAGCCCCTCGTCTCACATTTTGCCACTGGACTCAGCTTCTCCTTTACAGACGCCTCACAGAACCCAAGGCTCTCTGGCTGTTGTTTATTCGCAGCTAGTCCCAGACCCTGCACTCCTCTGCCTTGTTCTCAGTATCCATGGGAACATCATCATTGTCCCACAGTGCAAAAGAGAGATTCAGTGACCACCTTCACTGTAGAGATTCACTCTTCATCTCCTGCGTGAGAGAGTGCCCTGCCTTCCTACATGATGCAGACTTTGAGAATAGGCTTTTCTACATTTATTCTGTATTCTTGTGTCTGTCTTCCAAGCTGAAAAACTCTTCCTTTGCCAGGATCTGAAAAGACAAGAGCTTTTTTTTCTAAACTTTTGGCTGTCAGAGCTAAAGCTGCAGAAGGCAGCTTCCCAGCCACTGCTTGTCCTCCCCCCATCTGGCTACACTTACTCGCATGCCTCCTCCCCACCGCGGCACCTCAAGCCCACCCTTGTGTCAGGGAGTTGCTAAAGGGCAAAACCAGCAGCTTCCTCCAGGGATACCAGAGCACTGGTCTCAACCATTAGCTCTGAGGCCCCAGTAAGAGCTGTTCCCTAAGTCAGTCTGGGGGAAGACGAGCCATAAGAGAGATCGGTTCCTTCTTCATGTGCTCTGCAAGCAGTATGAAGGAGGAATGTGCCTGAAGCTCCTGACCCCCACAGACCCCACAACTGTTTAGTGAATCAGTGGAGACATGGAGTCCCGGTCATAGGAAGCTGATGAACCGTTCCTGAGGACCTGTGCCTGCCTCTGGGCTGCTTTCTACATGGCAAGTCCAGCAGAATGGAGGAGTTAAAGCTTTCCAAGATTTGCATTTATTTGCTGTTTCTCAGCAGGGGGTCACTGCTTGCTTCACCCCCATTGACACCAGGGAGGTCCATAAATCAGCCACACAGTGATAGCGCAGCCCTCCCGATGCTCATTATGCATCTCGCTGCTGGAGGAAAGCACCACCTTTGGTGCCAAGTACATTAGGGAACACGCCTGGGTTTAAAAATACTCCATGGGAGGGAATCACAACATTTCCAAACATTGGCGTCTTGCATCACAAAAGCAGAGCATGTGCCTCGCCATGTCTAGAGCAAGAACAAAAGCCCAAGGCCAACAAGCAAAATGAACAGCTCTAAAACAACAAAGCGGCTCTGGGTTCTGTATACAGTGTTTGTTGCCACAATCTGGCCCAGACTTACCATCTCCGATTTCCTTGCCAGAATGATGGAAATATAAATAGGGGCTATAAACCCAGCTCATATATCCGAAGGATTGAAATTATAGTCTCTTAGCAAGGAAAATGTTCGAGGGTAGTGAGGTAATGGGACCTGGTTACAGAGCTCATTTCTCTGAAAAACTTTAATACAGCATGGAAATTTTTCCAATGTCCTTGATGCAACCTTTGTTAAAGTATAAAGTAATCCCCCATTTCAGTGGAAAAGCCCCTTCTGTGCCTTCAAGAATGAACTGCTGAGCTCCATTTTGGAAACAGTTTCTTTCCAACTGCTGTTTCCAGAGATTTCTGAAGGGCTCCAAAGGCACAGCATCACCAAGGAATGAGATCTGGCTGTTTGCAAGCTAACCCGTCGCCTCTTGGCTTACCTAGAAAGGGCCTCACTTTTCTGTCAGTTTGCTGAGAGCTGCTGCTGTTGAACCATAGGAGTCCCGGCTCCAGTCTTGCTAAACAATATTCTGGAAGTCCATGCCATGAGTCACAGAGCTGGATGAGGGGCTCTGCTCGTTTGATTAATTACATTACCATGCCTGTCCTTTATTTGTTGACTCATAGCCATAAAAGCCCGGGATGTGCTGCGTATGTAGTAAACTGATTAAAGGGGGAATGTATGTAAATGCATGGATGCGTACGATAGCTTTTTGAAATCCCTCATGATCTTCCCACCCACTGGGCATTGCTTCAATATCGAGTTCAATCGTCAGGAAACAAATTTGCTCCCTCATCTGCGTAGCACATTGCAATGAGCTTGCCAAATACAGCCAAGCTTTCTGAAAGAAAAGAGAATCCCCCCACCAGTGAATTTATGACCCTTGGCTCCCACGTGTGCCTTGTTCTTGTGCATGCCTCAGTGACATGGAAACTGTAGAAAATCTGTTTGGCCTCTTTCTACACTCTCATACTTGCAACTACGTTGGAATTTTCCTTCTTTTTTTTTTTTAATGACTATGTTTTTTTGTTTGTTTTCTTACCTTCTAACGCAAGCAACACATGAGGAGAGGCCCAAAGAAGAGTAACATGTGTTAATGAAAATAAAAGGAGAAAGGCGGAGAAGAAACACAGAGAGGCTGGAAGTACTGCTGAGTGTGGAAAGTAAAATGTCACTTCCCATGTCTCTTCCAGGTCCTTCAAGCCTGATTTTGTCCTGATCCGGCAGCATGCCTACAGCATGGCACTAGGAGAGGACTTCCGCAGCCTCATCATCGGCCTCCAGTATGGTGGCATCCACACCGTCAACTCCCTCTACTCTATCTACAACTTCTGCAGCAAGCCCTGGGTGGTAAGTGATGACCCAGGTCCACTGCATGCCAAAGCTGCAAAGCAGATATCTGGTACTGATAGAGCACCAAACTCAGCCTCCAGAGTTCTTTCATGGGAATTCACCTTTCTAGGGTAAAACCACAGTCTAAACCACCTTAGTAATTCAGCTGGGAAATCTTGGGGGAAAAAAAAACAAACAAACAAATGAAAAAAACACCTATGAACATTGCTCCTTTATCAGCCTCTAGTAATCTCAAGGTGTTATTTCCTCTCACTGAATAGGATGTGTTTCACCTTTCCCAGTCTCTGTTGTGTCAAAAACAATAATACAGTGTGAGGGAGAATAGATGAATAGTAAGAGATTAATAATAGCAGATCAGTAGGCTATCTATGTCCTGACCAAAACACAATAAGAAAAAACAACCTTAAATGAAATATTAACCTTCACAGTTTTAAAGGGTATTTGAACTACACTGCTAGGATCTTTCATTAGATAGATGCTTGTGGTAGCCAGCTGCCCCATCCTAAGACTATGATTATCCATTTCTTGCAGAAGTGCAATAGTTTGGGTATATCATTCTAACATATCTTGTGCTCTCTTCCTACTTCTTCTGAGTGGTGCTTTCTTGCAAGAATATCATCTGAAAAGACAGTCAAGAAAGGGAAAGAGATGGTCACTTCAACAACTAGGTCTAACAAAACAAAACAAAACAAAACAAAACAAAAAAAAAGGAACTTAATATGGCAGAGATATTGGAAAGAGGCAGAAGAAAACACGAAAATGTATAGAGTTTGTCAACAGTTCCAAAAGGAAATGTAAGTTTATCATAAGGTGTTGGCCTGAAAGACTACCTTGGAAACTCCTTGGGCTCCTGGGGAGCACAGGACGGTGTTTTGTGTTTTTTTTTTTTTGCACTGGGAGCCTCCTTCACCTGTTCTTTAAATTTTGTCAAGTTCATCTTGTAATCTCAGAAAACATGAAAAAATATAGCATTGGCTTTTCTCAGCCCCGAATCAAAGTTTACAGTAACCCCCCAGACCTGTTATGACCAACTCTAAGTCATTAGGATCTGAAGGAGCAGGACAGCCTGAGGAATGAGGCTGGCAGGAAGGAGTTAGATGTTGATACCTTTCTGGAGTCTACATCTAGGTCTCCAACCAGTTTCATTGGAAAATACCCTCACTGATCATTGACACTGCCAGAATGGAAAAATTCCACTGCATTGTTCTAGGTACAAAGCAGGGAACAACAAGGTATATGGATCTGCCAAGGATAAAGCACTTTACAATATATCTCCCCCTGGAATATTTAAGATATTTTTTTTAGGGATTCTCCCTATTCATTGCACAAATACAGATAGGGTCCTGTCTTCTCCAAAAACATTGCAGTGCAGCAATGCTCCAGATAACCCATATCCTCTCCTCCAGGAAAGAAAATAAAAATAAAAAATCTAATTTTTCCATCACTCTACAGGTGGATGATGCACATTTGCCCTCAGTTGTCATTTGAGTGATGAGGGTTGCTGGGAGTGGAAAAGAGAGGAAGAGAGGGATCAGTGGAAGGTTCAATACAACCCTTTGGCATTGTTTTCTACAGTTAGCCTGACACACTACGAGAATGTTGACCCCAGTGACCAGACAAAAAGCCTCTGCACTTATGCTGGCTTTTGCTGAGGAAGACAGTCATGTGGTCTATTCCATCTGATTTGGGGTTTGAGTCTGTCAGGATTTAGCTGACATTTTTCAACTCATGCCTTGTAATTATGCTTGTGATGGTGTGCAGGGACCTCAAGATATAACAGGCCTATTTTTAGGAGTCTAAAATAAAAGAAAACAAACAAATTCAGCACACTGAGGAAAAAAAAGAGAGAAAAAAAAATAAAAATAAAGCAGGGCTGGCAAGGCAGTGTGGGATAAATTGGCTCTGCCAGTAACTCAGCTCTAGATATTCAGGGTCTGGTAATGCCATGCTTTTCTCATGGAAAATACAGCTGGCTCACACAACCGTCCCAGAGAAGTCAAGGAAACCACTTGCAAACACTTAGAACAGGTTTACAGAGTGCCTCCTTTTCCTATTACTCCCCAACAGACATCACCCCCAAAGACAAATGATTGTAATGCACTAAGTAATCTAAGACCTAAATGGGGTCTGAGCTGGCATTTGGCACTGCTGAAATTTTATCAGGTCAAAGTTAGCTCAGGTAGAGATTGTACTGGGGCATTTGAGGGCAGGAAGCCTCACTGGCAGGAGAATCAGAAGATTTTGTGATAGCTGGGAAGTGAGGAGAGGCACAGAGCATTTCAGTGCATGTTCCATTTTGATTGCAAAACAGGCATCTTGAAATAAGGCATCTGCTTAACAAAGATTATTGGAAACTTTTTGGACATACAAAATGGTTGAGATACATGAAGAAATGAAATCTCCTGGGAAAATGTGCTTTTCACTCTCCCTTTTTTTTTTTTTCCAAAAATGGTTCCATTTCATAGAAATGTTTATGATTTTGTGGAGGGGGATGGAAGGAAAACTGTTTTTCCTTGGCAATTTGCAACGATGTTTTCTCAGCAACTGTAATTACAATCAGCTGAGTTTGGGCTTGAGTTTACTCAAACATGCAGCTCCACTTTTTAATGACATTTGCCAGGTTTCCAGTACTACAAATTTCTCCAAAGGTTAAAATTTGCATTAAACACAAGCACAGTTTAAAATAGACATTTCTGAGAGAAGAATAGACATATTCAGGGGGATTTCACTCACTGAGAAACATCTATGCAATTATTGAGAAATAATGCTACAAACATGCTAAACATAGTGCTTCAATTTTTTTAAAAAAAAGAAAATTTGTTGTAAAAGTCACAATACAAAATACAGTGGGAACAATGCTGAGAGTAGTACTCATACTACATGCAGAAACATCCTAACTGTAAGACAACTTTTGCACCTGTGAGACTGCAGGCAATAAGAAGTCTTAAAGACAGTCATCTACATAGTCGAAGGAAACTGCCAGCTAGCACTCTTATGGACTGTCAAGAGATAGAGGCTCCCTGGTGACCTAGATAGACACTTTAAAACAGTACAAAAGGACTTGAGATGCTCTGAAGGGATCTTCTTTCTCTGGAAAGATTCCCTGCAACTCACTTTGATATCCTAGCAGCCAGGCAAGGCACTTCACTTGCTTACCTGTTCCAGGTGTCTCAAACCCAGATTGTGCAATGTTGCCTTGCCCTGTATCTTGCTCTGCAGTCTGGATGTGATCTCAGTAAAACCAGTGGAGCCACAGAAAGTAAGAATTGACACCAAAATGTGGAAGGAGCAGTTATCTCTAGCTGAGGTGCTGACTGTAACATTCCTACCCATCTAAAATGCACTGGGAGTAGCAACTTGATCTGTCAGGTATCTGAGAGGTTCCCGTAGCATTCAACGTGGGTATCTCTTTGCCAATATCCTGTCCTTAATAACTGCCAAAAAGGAAAAAAATATATATACATATATATGTATATATGTATATATATATAAAAAGGAGGGAATTGACCCATGACCCAATTGACCATGGTCAATACCAAGGTCAGAACTTTTTTACATTGGTTCAGTGAGGAGGCTGCCAGATGGCTGAAGCTCTCACCTGTCCATCTGAAATGCTTGCCATTTCAGCAACAAAGAGCTATGCACTTCAAAAGAAAGCCCAAGGTACAAGTTGGAAGGCTGGGCCATTGTTCCAGTTACTTTGACTGAGCTGTTTTCCTCGAGTAACACAGGTGTCACCCCAGTGTCCGTGGTTTTCCAAGGGCTGCATGCACACGCAGCAAGGGACTTGTGCTGCTCTCAGCCTGGGTGTTTTTCTCCTCCTCCTTGTCTCTGTCTCATTCTGCTTAAATTTTGAGTCCTGTTTGCTCACTTTGCTAGTCAAAACAGGGCTTTGTTTTTCTTCTCTAGGATGTGCAGGACTAGCGCAAGTGGTTAAGAGAAGCAAGCTGTCCTCCTTCCGCAACATAAATACCCTTCTTGCCAACAATAATTATTCTACACAGGGAGTTTTTCTCTTATCTACAGATGCAAGTGAGGGGGTGGTGGTGTTAGTGAAGGGATATGCCAGCTCTTGATAATTCCTGGGTTTTCTTAAATGCCACATTTTGACCTACGAGATTAGCAACAGGATTCTTCACATTTGTTTGCAAATCTGCTGGCAGCTGCCCCTTCAGCATGTAGCCTGGGTCTGGCATACACCCTGCAGCCATTTATTTATTTATTATTTATGTGTGTGTGTGTGCTGGCTGCATTTTTTTTTCACACACATATCACCCCTTAACCTCCCAAAGGGGTATTTCTTCTTACCCATTGAGTCACGCTTCAATTTCTTGCACAGAAACGCTTTTGCTTAGACCAACCCAGGAAACAGGACAGGAGGCCTAACACAGATACTCAATGAAATCTCTTCTCAGTAGTTCTCACTTTATCTGCAGCGTAACCTTGAGGTTGCAGTGTGGTACATTCACTGGCTTCAGCCATTCCTCAGAAGTGCTCAGAGCATTTAAGATTATGCAGCCCATACTACTGGGACGAAAGGAAGCTTTCTTTCCTTTCCCCAGATGTCCTCAGGTGATACAGGTGACACAAAGGTCACCTGCAAGGTGACTGCATTCCTATGTTTAATGGGGAATTTGAAGGAAATTGTGATAAGGAGAAATCTGGCCAGTGAGACTTGGCCCAGACTGGAGGCCATTTGTTAATTTAACTCAATCTTACCAAGTTTCAGAGGACTTGGAAGCTTGATTCAGTTTCTAAATCATTTTTCAAATAAGGCATTAATGGGAAGTGAGTTCAGCCATGTCTCCCAGCTCAGCAGGAGCCACGATTCTCACTGCTTTGGACCACTTTGTTTTCTCAACATTCACAAAAATAATTGAGCTATATTATTCAGCTCTGTTTCCCCTTCTGCAAGACTGCTGGTCTTACCACTTCACCAGCAGCACTGCTGGTTCTGCCTTGACCAATGATAACAGGGCTGTACCTCTTCAGAGTAGAAGGAGGATAAATAGATGGGTGATTGTGAAGAATCTAATGGAAAGTTTCTGTCATATACACCACCTCATATTCTCTTATTTATACTAACCCTCTTTTGGTGCCTTTTTCTACTATGGTATCGCAGGGTATAAAATTTCTGTCTTAGACAGAGGTTTGGTTGTTTTTTGTTTTGTTTTGTTTTGTTTTCCATCTGATCAATGACAGGTTATATAGAGAGGCTGCAGGCAGCATGCAATAGTCTGAAAGTTCGCAGATGGCCAAAGTGGAGCAGGAACTCACTATGCTACACTTCTGTTGGGGTTTTGGAACACAACCAGAAATCAAATCTCTCTCCTACCCTGGGGGGCTTTAGGTCTGTGTGGGCACAAGCCTGACTGATAAACACTTTGTAATAGCGGTGACAATGGTGATGTTCATGCTGACAGGCTGGGGCAATGGCAACATGAAACACATCAATGGGCCATGAGGAACAGATGATCTCCCCTTTCTCCTGCCCTGCTTGGGTGGATGTTGGGAGACCCTCAGCTCATAATAAATACCAGTTATAACTGGCTTATGTCAAGCTTGTGCTTCCTTGGTCTAGCGCTCAAAGGAGGTTTTCCTCTAGTCACATTTCTCTCTTAGCAGTTCTCCTTCCCTTCAGCACAATGAGTAAAGGTGCCTTGCTTTGCTTTGGCCATGGAACAAAGATGTAAGGGAGAGCTTGGGTTTCTTTTGTCTCTGCTTAAGAGTGGTGGCACTGATTTCCTGCTTGGTCACTCCTCTGAGCCCTATCCTCTGCTAAGACAGGCCTCCCACCCTTTCCCCAACCACTTTAGAAAGTAAAGCCTATTCATAGCAGATCTGTAACTAAGCCCAAACTGATCCTCTTCTGGCTCTCGAACCCCTCCTCTTAGTCCAAGGTTTGTGTATACTGTTCAGCTTGGCCCTGGGTAATTACAGCGAGTACTTTATTTATTTGGTCCTCTCAGTTCTCTCACCTCCTTCACCAGTATCAGAACGTTTTGCAAGATCTTACCTGTTACACAATAAGCCACTGACATCTACTGTGTCTTGTTTTTTTTTTTTTTTTTGTCTCCTTCTATCTGCCCCAAGTTTTCTCAGCTCATTAAAATCTTCAACTCGCTGGGTCCTGAGAAATTCCCCCTCGTGGAGCAAACTTTCTTCCCAAGCCATAAGCAGATGGTGAGTACCTGTGCTTTCTTCTGACTCTAGCATGGGTGGGGGAGAAGCAATGAACATGAGTTGTTTATGAAACACTGAAGATTTGGGACGTGGACAGAAAGAGATGTTTGTTTCACAACATCAGTTTGCTTGGCCTGTCATGTCATTGCCATCCATGAAATGTTTATCAGCCTGACTAGGTGCTCAAAGTAAATTGGACTTCTCAAAAGAATAAGTTGTTTCAGCTTGTGTTTCCTTTGCCTGGTGGTTCTGGGGCTCTAGTCTTCCTGTCAACACCTAAATACCCAGTGTGCTGCGTGGCTACTGGAAACCATCCCAACCTCTTAGGGCACCTTCCAAAGAGGTATGCACAAGTGCCCGCTGCATTTGGCTTTGGTCCTGGAGAACATGGCTGAGTGGCTTTATTTAAAACTGTTGATGTCTCGTTTCCTTTGGGTTACAAGGATGACTAGTTATTGGCGAATTTTTCCTCCTAACTTATATTGGTGAATTAGTGGCTCTTCTTAGCTGGCTGGTTTTCTGGAGACCCTCTGTGTGTGAACCATGACCCCTATGTGCAAGGCACCAGGTGGCTGAGTTTATTTGCCTTTGATTGAGAACTCAAGTGTGGTTTACAGCCTGGAGGTTAAGGATGTTGCAATGTCAAACTGGAGCTAGAAAACATTCAAATCCCTCCATTCCCACAGATTCCTTGCTACACTGTGGGCCAACTACAATGTATAATATGGTGTAGGTACCTGATGGCAGAAATTAGTGCCGAGTGGGAGCTTTGAAGTGCTTAAAGAAACCTCATTTAGATTCTTGTAAAAGATCACTCCGGTGCACTCTAGGTACCTGAATGCCTTGAAATGCCACTCCTTTATCTCTGTGTTCCAATTCTCTGTTCCCTGTAACTGTCTGAAGGGACAACAGCACTTCCATTCCTCACAGGCACATGGTGAAGGTAAGTACACTCATATTGTGAAACACTCAAGTGAATGCAGGTGGTAAGAGCTGTATTATCAACTAATACCAATTTGAAAAAAAATAAAAAATGGATGGCCCTTATATATTGAGCAAGAGTTGGTTATAGATTTTTTAAGAAAAATTAGTTCTTAAATCCTGTTGCATTTAATCACCACTGATTTATGAAGAGGGATTTGTGATATGAGTAATGCTTCAGGACAGTTTTGACTTTGGCTGACTATCACTTCAGGAATGGTATTTTTGGAAGATTTGATTAGGCTTTTCATTACAAATATGTTACTTGGCAATTTAGCATTATTTTTATTTCTGGAAATCTGACTCCTCCGCATGTAAACACATTTGTTACTGGTATAGTAGTTTGGTTTAGCAAAGCACTGATCTTAATTTCATGTATTTGTCATCTTTATAACTTATCACCTACTTGCAGATGCTATTGCTTACTTCCTAAAGAATACAGGAACCTTTTTAAACTGCAGATAATCTCATCTGAACACACACTATTGTTGACATGCAAGCTTAAGTAATCTGATTTAAATCAGTCACTTTCCAAACATTTACACAGGCAACAATCCACTTGGGCAAATTAAGACCTGCCCTTCCCAGGTGGGGGGTCTGCCCTTCTCTTCTGCCTGGAGCAAAAGAAATGAGTCTGTGTAACTTCCTAAGATCTTTCTAGATGCATCTTACAGTATCCTGGGCTGATAGGATGAGTATAAGGGGCTGAGAGAGTAAACGCTTATGCCAAGCAAGCTGTGTTGCAGCCATCACTCCATCAAATGCTTGTGAAACTTGCCCACTCTGCATCAGCTTCTCAATGTATCAGGAATTATAATTATATCCCCTCCCCAGTCTTTTCTTTCCTTTCCTGGAGGTGTTTTTTTTTCAAGCTATTCCAGTTAGCACTGGCACTTTGGTAGCTGACCCCCCCCCAGAAGTGCTTCTAACTAGAGTTATGGTGTTTCTTCTTTGCAGTGTGACACATTTCAAGCAATGAAATTCTCACATAAGAGACCCTCATCCCTCTATGTCTAAAACTTTCCAAAGCTTACTTTCCAAACTTCTGGATGAAACGCAGAACAGACACAGAAGTCTGTTTCATTCTTTCCTCCTTGTGGAGAACGGTGATTTTCCTAAAGTAAAAGTGACATGAAGGAAATTTCTAACAGCTGTTTTGGAGGCCCTATTTGCGAGCATTTTAATTTAGTTGAAAATGCTTTCTCTGAAGCTTCCTTCTCATTTCAACAGGGGCATTTTTACCCAGCCTTAAACAGTAAACCTAAATAAAGGATACAAGGCTCTGACATTTCACAGCAGAAAAGATCTGACTGATGAATCTCCGTTTTCTTTGCTATGGGCATGTACCTTTCGACCATTCCCCCTGTTTACTAGAAATAAAAGCAAATTTGGCAACTGTTTGTCTAAAGCCCTACTGGTGCTGCTACATGACTTACCCATAATGACTGCCTTGCTCCGTAGTGACCCCCTATGGCCAATTAACAAGTGGGATATGTTAACTTCAAAAAGGATTTTTCACCTCTCCAGGGCTTATGACCCCAATAACAAGTCTTCAAGTGATCAAACTCTAAAGAGGGAGGGACTACTGGATGTCCTCTTTGCCAAAGAGCCAGAATGGCCAGAGGTGGAACGTCTGCTTTGGGCCCAATAAATGGTATCAAGAAAGGGAAGGAAATGAATAAATCCACTTGCAAATCCATTTGTGTACATTTGAAGTGGACAGAAACTAACATAAGTGAAGCAGAGACAGAATGTCTGTGATAGAAATAAAACCACTTTACTGTTTAGAATAAAAGGACACTATAAAAAGTGAACATTATGCAACATTACCTTAAAAGACAATATACATTCACTGAATATAAAATTTATAAATAACATGGAGGAAAACTGTAAACAGTGCTAGAAAATTTAGCAACAAATACATTCCTTCTGGACAAGATTTTTCACGCAGGTTTGGTTCCTTCCCCAAATTTCCATGACTATCAGGAACAGCAGAGTGGCTCTATGAAGGAAAGACTTTGTCAGAAAGAATGAGAAACCAGTACAGGCAAAGCAGCAGCATTTAGTGGGTTGTTAAGCTTTTTGTGAAGACTGGTAGCTCCAAAAGGTACTTAAAAAAAAAAAAAAAAAAAAAAAAAAAAAAGTTTTGCAAAAATTTTGCCCTGCCCTTCCTTCTAAGCTAGAAAAGATATTATAAATATTTTTTTTCAAAGACATCTGAAAGAATGGAGGTTTGTTCCCATTGAGGCTTTTACTTCAAGAGTCTGTACTGTGAAAAACACCAGAGTGTTTGCCATCAATCACCCTGAGGTAGCACTTTGCTCCAGCCAGTATGAATGGTTGCTGGTGATACGTTTAGGTTTTCAAACAGTCCTATCTAAAGGATCTTGCAGCTTTTCAAAACAGGATTTTTGGCCTAAAATTGTGGTTTTGTTGCATGAAAGGGAGGGGGAAGCCTCCCACAGAGGGGGGAGCACTATGTCTCAGCAATTCCAGGAGAACTTTATTCAATGTACTCCAAGCACAGATCTCCTCCTGCTCTCTACCATTTTGGAAAAGGAAAATTGAATCCAATCATTCCCAACCTTTATAGTGATTCTAAAAGGGAAAGCACTCTCAAGCAAATAAGCAAATTGTCTATAAATAAGAAAACAAAAGGCAACAGCCAGAAATGACCTATGCCCTTTAAAAATTACTTATTATAATGCTGATGTACGTGAAGTATGGGGGGGAAAAAAAGCCTCATCTTGTACATGCCCAAAGGACACGTTCACATGAGATGTGCCATTGACAGTTCCCTCTAACCTTTGGTTTCAGGGTGAAGTAAGAAGCATGGGAGAGGTGATGTGTGCTGCTGCAAGCCGTTTTATGTTCCAGAGCCTAATATTTTGGGGAGAGTGTCATACCTGCCTCCTCACATCCCCATCCCTGGCATGCCCACATCCTGCATGGCCTGTTCTAATGAGGGAGAGTTTTGTCCATTGGCAAGCAGAAGTGACTTAGCAGGACAGGAGAAAGGAGAGAGTAGAAAGAAAAGGAAGAAGTCTTTGAGTCTGATTTAGAGCCTTTCCAATCCATCTAATGGCTCCCTCCTGCTTCAAGGGAACCTTCGGTCAGGTTCTTAATGCACACACAAGCTAAAATTTAGCCCAAGAAATACATGTCCCTGATAGCATGCACAGAAACATAATTAAGAAGCTTCCCAAAAGAAATGTATTTTTACTGGATTCTTCCCCCTCCTTTTGGCTCCACATTTTTAAAAGCCTTAAGAACTGTTTCTTTACACAGCAAGGGAAGAGATTTGGTACCAAATCCCCACCCTTGCTGGTCTAGCTATCTGCATCTCAGAAATATTTTACCGTCTACAATATAAAATGGGTATTCATTTCATTTTCTGGTAATGTGGTTGCTGTTTTGCTGTTTACAGAGCACATAGCTACATTATATCCTACTTAGGGACACAAGTCCTCATAGCATTAGAATGCAAATATTTTCACAATAATTTGAGTGCAATACTGTGATGTCTCAGCTAGCTAAATGAATCAGTGACAGGTAAAATATGCAGAGCTGCAATTAAATGAAAATTCAAATCAACACTTCACTGCATCGAGGGGCACTCTCACTTAGCCTCCGAAGCTGTGAAAAGTGGCTGCAGCTCAAAGAGACGTCCGCTTGGCAAAGTCGCCTTGAGCTTGAGGAGGACCATCTCCAGCGATGCCGACTCCACACGATGCAGACAGTGAGGGTGGAACCATCACCGCTGGTGAGGCTGGCTCCACTCTGCCCTTGGTGACCCTCTGAGATTTTGTCAGCAGTGCACAGCTCAAACAGAGATTGCCCCCCTGCGTCCAAAGCCAAACCCCGTGTTCTGCCAAAAGGGGCAACCCACCACGCGATCCTATGATGGGTGCTGTGAAGCGCCCTACTCTCCCTCTCATCTCCAACCTATAATTTAGGAGTAGTCACAGGGAAGAGGATTTTTGGAAAGTGTTCCAAGCCTGAATCACAGGAAAATCCAA